CACATAAATGTCAGAACTGTGTGGGTTTGATGTTTTTCTTTGAGTCTCACTAACTGTTACATCAATGGCATTACTAAATTGATGTCTAGTCCAACAACAACAACAGAATAAAGAGCGTAGAAAACCTATGATACAGTGAACAACTTTGTCAAAGCATGTGCATACTTTAGTGACAGGCAGATGAGTACATTATTATCTTTAGGTTACTTTGACATTTATGAAGACCATTTCTGATTCATTCATTCAGGTGGTGATATATAGAATATCATGAACCACTAATATTGCCTCAAAGCTCCTGTGAGGACGTTTAGCTCGTGGTACAGACTGAGATTATTATTACAGTAATACCAATGCTTTTTTATGACCTTAAAAAGCAAACAAAACCATCAGAGAGCAGTTTGATTATTTCTCTATAATTACTTTTATTGCCTGAATCTGCTGCTGCCGGATAAATGTCAGATGAGGCAAATAACAGCATTGCTTCCAAAACAGCCTATTTGAAGATTTTCAATGCCCAAGTTTAATTGTGAGTTGCGTGTGAGACATTTGAAATAAGCAGGATGAAATTCATTGTCATTGTCAAACATGGCTAACAGGAAAATATTAACAAAGAGATACATCTTCCCACTCTGTCCAAAGGGGGCGCCAAAATCTACACAATCCAAAAGTTCCTTAAAGCAGCTTTAAATATTTGATGTCATAATTCTTACATCATTTTCATCATTCATTTATATGTCCAGAATATGTATAAATGCTTACAAGTTAAGGGCAACTGGCTTTGAATTCTTTGAGTTTTTTTAGAATAATGCCATTTCTGCCGCTTGCTACTGTAGGGTCATTATGTTTCTGAACTGTTGTGGTATCATGGTGACTCTACAGAAGCAACAAGGGGAGGTAGTGAGTATGGTGAAGACCAAATCAGTGGTGCATGTATTACTGGTGCAGAGTTTACAGTAAGTGTCTTGCAAGGATTACAGCTGAGCACATTTGTGTTTCAGTCATTTTGCATTTTTGAAACCTCAAAATATTGTTATCCATTGGACAAAAAAAAGAAGTCATCACTTTTATCATTTAATTTCTGTCTTTTCAGTTTTTATACATTTGATAACATTATACAAATTCCCTTATGGTGCTCAATCCCAGTTGACATGTAGAGAAACCTTTGGTAGTAAAGCCAAGTGATGCTTATAGTAGGTCAAAACAAATGCCTAAACTGTGCGTCCAGTCTTCTACACTTGCTCCTGTTTGTAATATACATTTGAACAAACACAAGGTACTTGTGCCTGAATGAAAGGATAAGCGCTCAGTGAAGACACCCCTCATCCCAGTTATGCCCCTATGCCCTACTGATAAATTACATCAACTACCCTATTGCCCTTAGTTGCCACTACAACCAAAACAGCATTGCTTCCACAGATCCAGGCTACTTTGATGCAAGCTCCAGGTAGTGACCATGCTGATACTACTGTACCACATGGTCCCATCTGGCCCCCACAAGCAATCGTGTAAGCTAATGAACAGCAAGAGCCAGGACATCATTGGGGATGAATATATCATATTTATAACATATCCAACATATCCCCTTTTTATTTTATATCTTGTATCTTTGTGCTTAGATCTCATATGCTTCTATCTTAATATGAGCAACAGTAAAGTTTTCACTATTGGGATGGATAAAGTATTTCTGATTCTGATGTTTAGTATTCCTTTATTTTGTAAAGTTCTTTTTTGGACTATTACTATATGACCTTTTATGTTGTAAGGGTTTTCTTTTAGATTTGACTGCTTCTGCTTGTTTTGTTGCTTTCCCCTTGTTTGCGAAATCATAGCTTTAAATGTCAAAACAGACATCTGAACAAAGTAGCATTCTTATGAAGCTTTAATCACTTTGTACACATTTTAAGGTTTAATCAATCCTACCAAACAAACTTGCTTTAAAAAGGATGCACAGTGTGTGTGAGTGTGTTAAAGCAGCAAGGGCAACTGCAGCAGCTACAAATTATGATTGAGTGACTTTGGGCAAACTGAAGAGCCAACCAGCACAGCAGAGAGGGCATGGCAGCACCCGGGGGAATTGTTCACAGGTCAAACACAAATAGAAAATCATTTATGTTAATTCCTGCGCACAGTTTAAAGTCTTTAATCCACCTTACTCCTGTGCCTGTAGACAGAGGGCAGGCAGAACAAAACAAACAGAAGGAAGGAAGGAAGTTAAGAGGCCACAATGCTGACACAGAGACAACTTCTTCCACATACAGAACATACCCGCAGGGATTACGCTGCCTCTGTCACACATGCACCCAACCTTTGACAACAGTCGCGCTACCACACATCCATCATCCTTGCTGGGGCCGCTTGATGCTGCAAGTAGTGACAGCATTATCAGGAGGAGGCGTGCTGAGAGAGGGAGAGTAAGACTGAGACTGAAAAGAGCAGAACCGCAGCAGGCGATACCAGAGACCTCTCATGGCTCACAGCTGGACTGCAGCTCTGCCTGGGAGATTGTGCTAGCAGCTAAAGTGAGCAGCCATCACGTTGCGCTCCCAAACATTAGAGATGTTGACAGTCAAAACCTCGGGCGTCCACATTATTAAATGTGAACACAGAGAGTTCATGCATGAGAGCTCTCTCTGCTATGCAAAGAATCAAGATTTATCTTTCATGTGGTTTTCAAATCTTTCCTGCGCTTTACAAGTTTCACCATTTAGTAGGAACCCTGATCTTGCACACCAGCTGTGCTTACATCACAGTCGTTGAACAGCTGTAACTCACAAGCTATGAATACAATTCACCTGCTAGCCTGGTCATCCTTTCAATCAATGAGAAAGTCAGTAAATAGGAAGAATAAAGCCCATCAGCTGATATTGGACGCAATCAGGAGTACAAGTTCAGTACAAGAAAATAGAAATCCTCAAAAATGTAACTATAGTTGAAAACATTGCAGCCCTGTGATTGGTCTACATTTCCCTCTCCTGGCATGCAACACATGTAAAACATCAGATACTGAGTCTAATTATGACAAGAATATAAATATACAGTATGTCAATTGCATCATGAACTTCTATGTGTTTTTAACGCATATGCTAACCGCTAGCCTGAGCTAACAACACTATCAAGCTGAGCATTCCATCCATTCCAAACCAATGCAGTACATCCCATCTCCTCCAATGTGTCCTTTCTTTTCTTCTGTGCAGTAAATGCAAAAGAGAACAAACCATATGAGGTATTTTTGTAGGCCAACCCGGAAGTAGCATCACCGTGGGGTCTAATGAGAATTCGCCTATGGGATTTTTGCATTGGATTTTGGATCAGTGCAGAAAATAATCTCTGTGGCAAACACAAGTTTCTGATGCATAGGCGTTTGTTCAACAAGGATAATCTTCACAAATGAACAACATTTTATGATGTTTAAAGCTAACTATGCTATAGTGGACTACACCACGGTCGGATGATTTTGACTTCACTACCGTTACACTTCAGACGATCTCCGATCAGCTAATCCGCTTAATTAAAACTAAATTAAAACCCACAGGAGACATCACAGACTAGTGAGAGAGTTTCCGTCGTCTGTGTCCGGCGTGATGACGTTTAATGTCCCCGACAACCACTGTAGTCTCATTTAGCCACTTGTTAGCAACCGCCTTTTTAAGGACACATAACTTCAAAATTCAAAAGTGGAGGTATTACCTAACGTAGTTTATATCGTCTAACAAAACGCCAACATCTCTTAAGTTTTTGTTAACCACAGACCTTATTTCAGGCATCTATTCACAAACCCATTCAAAATCCCCATTGACTTGTTTTAGGGACTCATTCCTGTGGCGCTCTATATAACGAAATGCTGCTCTATTTGGTTTCGGTTGTCATTGGTTTCACATACACAAACAAGCAAATAATGTGGCGGAATTAGAATGTGGCAGAACCCGAAAGGCAATGTAACTAGCATAAAATTCTAGCTTTTGTTGGTGGGATATTGTAGAGCTACACAGACACACCATTGCACAAGTAAGGTATGTAGTGCTCAAAACGGCAGCGTAGCTAGGCGATAGATTTGACGCAAAATAATATATCAGGTCCGTCATCAGTGAAGAACTTGTTGAGGCAATGAAATACTTTTTTTTCACAATTGCATAGCAACTCATTCTATTGCAGCCATTATTTGTATCTTTTTAGGCTGGTTTTATGGGGCCTTTACAGGGGAATCAATGCCACTTACAGTTACTGTATGATATATATGGAGCTGAGCATCTGGGCTCAGCATAAATTCTGGAAACAGCTAACCTTTCTGTTTTTGAACACAGCAAAACTCCAACCAACTCCTCTAACACTCCCAAATAAACTTGTATTTCCACAAAGATGAGTGTATTTAACTGACAAAGCTGCAGTTTGCAGGGACTGTTTGGTTTTCGGACTATTTCTTGTGGGGTTGCCATGCCTGAGTTTCTCATTGTACTTTTCAATTTTTACGTTTTTTTTCTAAGCAAATTTTAAAAAATCAAACACCTTAAATGTTTACAATGGGGCTTAAGAGTTGCTGCTGGGTGACCTTTGTGACCTTTGTATAAAACCAGCATATCTGTGGCTATCTACAGTGCAGCTACATGAGTGAGAGGAGACAATAGCAACTGTTGTTCTTAGACACAATCTCAATTCTGGACACGTGTTGACACATTTTAGCACTCAGATCTATGCACACACCCTTAGATCCCCGTCAATCCCAGTGAACATTTGCAAATGTCAGGCCAACACTCATAACGCATTTTCAAAGCTGTGCACATATCAAGTAATCTGAGCACATTCTGCAAATATCAGAAGGTGCAATTGCCAAATGAACGGCCTTGTTCCAATAAATAACAATGAATTCCTTAGACATCTCCATGTTTTTTTAATTTGACATTAATATTCTGAATTCTGTTGTGTAAAAGCTCTGCATGTGGTAATATTTCAGGCTGTTTCACCTCATCGACTCAGTGTTGTTGTGTTGTTTTGTCTCTCATCAGGAGAATGCAGCTTTAGCACGGCGGGGGCTTATGACGGCGCAGTGTTTAGCCGGATACTTCAGATCCTTTACAGAAATGAGGAGATCGCTGTGAATGACTGTATGATCTTCAAAGTCCACCTGCTATTGGACGGTGAAAGGGTGAGTCATGCTTGTGACATTTTCTGCACACACACACACACACAAACGCACACAAACGCACTTCCTGTTCAATGAAAAGAGAAAGAGATAGAGGACTCCATTTGGCTGCTTGTATTTTATCAGCAGACTGGCAGTAAAATGCATGATGGATAATTACAGTGAAAGCAGCTGTATCGTAGTTCAATTAAATGGTGATTAATGAATGCATTTAACATCCACTATTCTCTCCTACACATTATCCTAACTTGCTTCCTGCCATCTGAAACAAACAATAACAGAGTTTTCATAACAGAGATTTAAGGCAGTTCATTACAGCAGAAATATTGAAGGATGAAGTTATATAATTATACACATTTATGGAACAGTAGTACTACTCAGTTGCTGAAGTTGCTTTAAATGCCAGTGAGTGGATAATATTGTTTTGAGAGAAAGTATAATGGAAACAGAAGGAGTATCCTTGAAAGGCAATTAATCTATGGCACTCCGATTGGCTGACAAGTTCAAGTTCTTAACCAGGATGCATGGTGGTCAAGTTGGGAGTTTTGCAGCATGCAATTGGTATACAATAGAAAAAGAGAATTAGTGTATAAAACATCTTTTAATATCTTATTGAGATACAAATTGTCTATTAATCTGATAACAAAAACGAATGACAGTTTCTGTTTATTAGATTTTATACTTGGATGAAAAAGGGCCACGGGTCGAATTAGATTTAAAAATGACGTGTTGATCGGTAATGAGAAATCTTAAGTTTAAAGTTTAAAAACACAAAGTATTTGAAGGTCTCAGTAGTGGATTTTTTTAAATGTTCAACTAAAAAGTGCGCTGTGTTTTTCAATGCTCAAAAAAATGCCTTGAAGAGTCAAAATTGGGCTACTATTCAGTCGAAGGTTTATCAGCTCATGTGAATATGTAGCTTATATCAACATCCTGGAGTACACAAACATGTGCAGATAAAACCACTTTGGTACAATAAAATTAATGTGGCCATATGGGTGTACAGTATACCAGGTAGCTAGCAATTATTTCTTGTGGCCTTTCTGGTATTTGGCAGCAATGTTGATGTGCTGACTTGCAGAATTTTGGAACACCCCAGGCCCCCCTGTCAGAGTTACATCTGCCAAGCAGGTTGTGTTTTTTGGTACCATTTATTCTCAGAAGGATTGCAAAAAAAGAAAAAAAAAAGGATGTTCAGGTTTTAATAAAAGTTGATGTAAGGGTGGCAGCATGGGCCAAGGAAGATGCCATGAGGAAGATGAGTCACAAACAACAAGCAAATGTAAGAAGATTTGTCTCCCAAAAAAGCAACACCATTGGACAGACTGAAAACTTGCATTTTTAGAAATATACTCAGCTATTACTCCTCGGCAGAGGGTCCAAGTGGCCTTCTAATTCTAATAATGACTAATAAAGCATCTGGTATGCTACTAATTAGCATGCTAATAAGCAACTAGTTAATGTGAGGAATAGTGTGTCCTTAATGTGTTGGTAATTTGGTCCAGATCCACTTTTTAATATTTCGGTTGAAATTGTCTTTAGGTCCTGACAGAAATTAATAACTCTTGTTCTCTGAAAAAGGAACAAAGAAAATATGTTGTCTGTAGCTGTAGTTGTAAGCCTGTAAAAACTTTGACCAATGTCTGCCATGAGGTACCAATCTGATGAACCAATCAGACCTCCCTGTCTCCCTGCTCACTCTCTACCCCTTGTGTCCACTAGCCCACACTCAAAGCATGAGCTGAGGTCTGCTTCTGGACCAACAGCGCTTGTGCGTGTAAGTGAGGGGCGTGGCTTTTGAGGGAGCACAGAGGGAGGGTGTGGGTGCAGCGAAGCACTGAGGGAATGCTACTTTCAAAATCATGCCAGTTTTCGAAAATTACCAACCCAGTCTTTAATTGTTGTTTTGTGTTACTAAAAGGATATGTAAAAGAAAAAATATATATGTAGAAAAAATTAGTAGTATCTAAAATTTGTACTAACTTGAGATAATGTACTATTTTACTCTGTTACTTTACAACAGTTGTATACCTTGCAAACATCAGCATTGTCAGACAAGCACACAGAATGAAGCTGATTGAGTTCAGCGACTTGTCTCCTGGAATTATAGGTCATTAATTCGCAGACAAATGCAGAGAGCCTGTGCCCCAGACTGCCCATGTTCAGCTGAAATGATCAGGCGTGTAAACCTGCCAGATAGTTATTGATGTACTGTCCTGAACGGTTTCACCATGGGCATGACCCCGAAAATCCACTCTGCCTGTTTTTGTTGTTGAGAGCCATCAGAGCTCAAATAGATCAGTGGTGACAGCCCGAGACAGGCCCGAGGCAGAGATGTGGGGGAGTTAAGATGGCCCTGCTCGGAGCTAATCATCCATATGATAGCCGTGTGTCACACACTGACATTACCCTGCACTGAAACTGATCTCTGACATATGTGTGCAGTCCAGATGCCTGGAATGCTGCGGACAGAATTTGCATTCTTTATCTTGCACAGCTCTGCATGATTCTTATTTTAAAAGATTTCATTAAATGTGGACATTCATGTTAAAGTCCAGGGACACACAGCTTCAAGACATATCAGATTTCAGCTGTAAGCTCTCCCGAAGGCTCTCTGCTCATTAACCTTGGAGGTTATCTGCCGCCCACAGCTCCAGATAGCACGGACAAAAATAGCCCCTCATTTCCCCTGTGCTCACTCGCATGTATGCTTAATCAATCAGAACATCAATGTGGGACAGAACAGCAAAGATTTGGGTGTTGCTGTACGGTATGCATGTGTACTTCAACTGTAAGGAGAAAGGCAGAAAGAGCTGTGGGTAACCTTCATTATAATAAGCAACGCTGCACCTTCATCTTCAAAAGGCTCCACCCGCAGCACAGCCTTTGTAGTCGGCTCATGTCTTTGATTTTTTTTCCCACTTTGTTTTTCAAATTTAAAGAGGTGCTATATATTCATAAGGTAGGACTCTCGATGGCACTTTGAACATGAGATTAATTCTATATTGTTTACCTTACATCTGATTCAAATAAATGTTGGAATACAGAGCACGTCAAAAACGTGAACACATAATTAAAAAGAAGTTAATAAAACTTGCAAATATTGTAGTTCATATTAGGTTGTATAGAAAACAACATTTTCTCATTCCCAACCAAGTGTCAAACTTTTTGGTGTTGACAAATGAATCCAATGCAAAGTGCAAAAATAATGAAGTTCCTGGAGTGTCCACTTGAGGCTGGCTCCAAAAGCCCATGCAGGAAGTCCCATTAGAACCATTTTTTTTAAAGCAGAATATAACATGTTTGCAGACTCTGTCATAACCTGGCTCAAAGGATATGACATGAGAAAGGACACCAGTTAACTTCAGATAATAATGATTTATTGTAACAAAGTAAACGAATGACCGCAAACATGTAGTGTGTCCGTCAGTAAGGTCAGCAGTGTTGTGGATGTGTGTCCATGTGGCATGAGAGAGAGAGAGAGAGAGAGAGAGAGAGAGAGATCCACCCTGGGGTCGGGCTTTCATGCCCTGAGAGCAACAGGCCCAGGTGTTCTAGATTGGACCAGCCAAATCCTCTAGAAATAGGGAGACAGTACCAATTAGTAATAGCCTGTTTATACACTAAGGCAGTGACCATCACAACTGGTACAAAAACAGTTTTGGTCTGAATAATCTGAGTATAACTCATCAGTTTTGATGATAATAAGGCTAAGATTTAGACATTTCCATAATTGGCAGATTTTACTGACTAGCTATTTACCTGGATGCTTAAGGCCTGCCTGAACTCCAACTCTTTGCCTCTTGTCAAAATTGATCATAGGTAAGATGGAGATGGCATTTCCAATATGGCGACAACCATCGGTTAGAAACGCCCACTAATAAACAAATTAGGGAAGTCACTGGCACTGCATTCATGTCTTTTACTGTCTTTTCTCCCAGCTTGTCCAAAACAACACCTTGGTCAGGGGACGTACTCATATATGCTCATACATGACGATCAAAGCAGCCCTAGTTAAACACATAATAACGTTCATGATTTATCAGCTGTACCAATGTTTTACAGGTGGAAGAAGCCTTGAGTGAGGTGGACTTTCAGCTGAAGCTGGATCTTCATTTTACCGACAATGAGCAACAGTAAGTTTTTGAGCAGTTTTCAGGTGTGTGTGTGTGTGTGTGTGTGTGTGTGTGTGTGTGTGTGTGTGTGTGTGTGTGTGTGTGTGTATGAGAGAGAGAGCAGCAGGTTTGTGTGTTAGGCAGAGAGAATGCTACACTTTCCCTTGGTGCAGCTTTTCTGCAAGAGTGAGAATGCAAACTAGGCATGAATAAGGCCTATTATGTCCTTTGGCTCAAAGCCATCTCTTTAAGCACCTGAACACTTCTGTGCATGCAGTACATGATTGCTGCCTGCTTTGGACAAATAGAAGAAGTAATGATGAGATGAGCAGTTTGCATTGGAACCAATGGCAAAAGGATCGATTCTCTGTTAGCGCTCTGGTTTTTATGTACAAAACGCTGCATGCTGTTTAAGAGTAGGAATTGATAGTTTATTCATACTCTTGTGGTTATATTTCTTAAATCTACACACAACTATATTCTAACACTCTTTCTGTCAGCATGTGCACTGGTTCTTATTACTCAGAGTCTGTATTTAAGTATCCACAAGGTCCCTGTAACCATTCCAGTCAAGAGTCAGACTCATTCTCTCTCTCTGACTCCTTATTTCAGGGATTGATATACATAAAGAGTTGGATTAACTGGAGCTGTAGAGACATCTTTCTAAGAGTCAAGCAAAAGGAAAAAAAAAAGTGTCAGGGATAGCCACAACTCCGTAAACACAAAGAGCTGTACCAAGGTACAGACTGTTCAGGGTCAGATGTAATTAGCATAATTAGCATGTAATTAGATGTAATTAATTTGCATGTAATATTTCTGCACTCTGTAACCATAACACAGTGATACATTCCCAGTGATTTTGATTTGTACTATGCCAATGTTTCTTATTTCCTTATGAGTTTTTGCCTGACTTTGTATATCTAATTTTAGAGGTTTCAGTTTTGCTGTTTGAGTGACATTAGAACTATAGAAGTAGACAAATAAAAACAGAATTCTAAAAAGCTCTTAAAGCGTATGTCAGAGTATTTTGTGGTTTAAACTTGAGTGTATCATTTGTGTCCCTTCTTTCATCCCTCAGGCTTGCAGAGATAGCGACTGTCCCGCTGATCAGCAGTCGGACCCTCAGCCTCCACTTCCACCCGAGGAGGGGCCTCCACCACCACGTCCCAGTCATGTTCGACTACTTCCACCTGTCTGTCATCTCTGTCTCCATACATGCTTCACTGGTTGCCTTACACCAGCCGCTTATCAGGTAGGGCTATATGCAAACATTTACTTTGCTTAAATGGTTTAAATGAGATGTGATCCCCCCAAAAAAAAACAAAAGTTTATTGATTCCAAACAGATAACTGGAGACTTTTATATTGTGTAGTTGGCTTGCTCACTAAGTGAATGGTAGCTCCACTGTTTTTTTGAAAAGCTGTCTCTGCATTGTTCCGCCATTTAAAGCTGTGACTCAGTGTTAGAGTCGGTTGTCTCGCAACCGGAAGGTCGGAGGTTAAATCTCCAGCTCCCCAGTCACATGTCAAAGTGTCCTTGGGCAAGACATTGAACCCTAATTGCTCATGCTGCTGCATCAGCTGGCTGGCCTCGTGTTTTTTCTATTCTTTAAACAGCACAGTGTGTTTCACTTCTGCAGTTACAAGAAAGGCAAGTTTCAGATGACGGGACTGATGATTTTAGCATCAATGTGGATTGTTTTTTTTTTCTAGCTGTAGAGGCAGCTACATATGTGTAGCAACATTGCAGTCCATGACAAATTTCCACAAAGGGAAAATGAGGTGTGTTGTATTGCACTGCACCGCACTGCACCTTGAGGGATCCCTCCCTTCTTTTCAGAGAGAGGATACGATGCTAATGTGAGCCTGAAAATTGTAATCACATCAATGGCCTGATTTCCCATAGTAGGGAACAATGAAACTGTTTTTTTTTTTTTTCATGTAACCTACCCTTCAATGAATGTAACCAAGTCACTTCATAATGTGCTCATTGGTTTCAGAAGTAATAATCAGTTTATGTTGTAAGCTAGTTAGCTCATGTCAGAGCACATTTACATACTGAGTAATACAGACCTCAGGCATTGGAGTACTAAAATGTAAAATATACTAAAATAGAGAGCAGAATAGTGCTCTCACTTTATCTCAATCTTGCCCAAAATTGGCATTTAAAAGATACAAAGCTTGAAAGGCTCAAGTATATAACGTTATTCATGACTGGGATATTTTTAAGGAGATTATTGAAGAGTTTCTGTAGATTAATTAAATTGTTGAAACTCTAAAGTGAGGGAAAATGCTGGCACAGCCTTTTAATCCTTCTTATTGTCTTGGCAATCCAAACAGGTGTATCCATTAGCTGCCGGAATTAATACTTTTCCTGGCACTTATCTGATGAATTCCGCTGTCAGTATCATAAAGTCACTGTTAGCCATGCATTACATAGATTACTTCAGCCCTTGATTGATTCAAATAGTAGCAGCTCCCATCTCTGTGCGTACATGGTTCTTCCACACACACACACACACAGACACACACTCATGTTTTGTCCCTGCATGTGTCCTTCCTGTTGTCTCTGCAGCTTTGCACGTACAGGGAAGGGCTCTTGGCTGGGGAAAGGCTCACCAGAGAGTTCCAGCGACCCATCTGCCATGACTGTAGAGAACCTTGTGTTCGGAGCTGGCTACTGTAAGCCTGTCATCTCTGAGGTATGTTAACCTTTAGCAGTTTAGCTGCTTCCTAAGTCACAATGAAAACCTTTTTTTTTTTCTCACAAAGCTTTAAATGGCCACAAATGATGATGAAAATGTAGATTTTTGTCTCCTTTAAAATAGGTTGTTAGTTTTTTTTGTAAGCAAGCTGCTAAATGCCAAGGGATGATGTAAATTTGATCTCAGTTTAGGCACAGAGGCCGATGGATTAAGATGTGATTTGACTCAGCATGCCATCCACAAGCAACAGGATTCAGCCTAAGACCTGAGCAGAGAGTCATTCTGATCTGGATTACTGAATGTGGACCCGTCAACCTCAAAATCAGCCATTTGTTTGGGCTCCGTGGAGTCTTAAGGCTTAAAGACCAGAGGCTAACACAGAGATTATTACTGTGCTGTACTGTGGCTTTTCATAATATCTGATTAACCCACCTGCCCAGGCATGCCAGCTCCAGGCGAAGCATCTGGATGTGATAGCAGCTCTCCCTGTAAATAATGGTGTCGTCTTGCCCCCTCCCACTCATGCCTCTGTGCTCATTTTACACTACAGTTAGGCTGAACAATTGCACGTTGACATAAATGATAATCCAATTACTGTTATCATAATTATTAATCATGATTACATGTTATATACAATGACAGCACTTTAAGAACATTCCCACTTCAGTAGCAGCAGCTTCAAAATCATACAAGATATCTTTTCTCTCTTGTTGTCAATTCACAGATGAAATTCAACTCTCTTAATTTTCAAAGCTGGCAAAATGAAAATTCTTGCATAGACTGAACCCCGCGAAAATGAGATGGTTCATCTCAAGGAGCTATCCATCAATTAACTGAATTTCTCAAAAAAACAAGTTTGCATTTACTGGTTTGAAAAAAAGCGGCTTTAAAATAAAGCCAAGGTGGAAGTGCAAAATACTGCAGTTCCTCAAGTGTCCACTTGAGATTAGCTGCAAAGCATAAAAATCTGAATAAAAAAATACAGCAGAAATAAAAAAGTTCACAGACTGATGCATAAATAAAGTTTGGATGGATTTTCGTGCCTTTACTAGAGAGGACAGTGGATAGAGTCGGAGATCAGGGAGAGAGAATGGGGAATGACATGCAGAAAATGAGCCACAGGTCGGATTTGAACCTGGGCCGCCCGCTTGGGGGACCACAGTCTCCATACATGGGGCGCGCGCACTAACAACTGCCCCACCAGCTGCCCCACCAGCACCCCATAATTTACAATTTTAAAACTAAAGCTTCAGAATACATCAAACTGCAACTTCCACTTTGAAATTAACTTTACTAAAGTTGTTCATTCTAAGAAATAATAATAATGGTGTCTTGAGGTTATTGGAACATGTTGTTGAATTGTATGCAGCTTTGGGTAGCTCCTCCATTCCAACAGTGTGTGGAATTGCGGGATAATTTGTCCCACACTCATTCCAAGCCACACCAATTCTAAATCATTTTAGAAACAGTTATGGTATTTGAGTGTGATAACCCACTTATTGGGACTTCTATTTGGACTGTTACTACTTTTATTGAGCATTATTTAATTATAATAGTCAATATTATGAGGTAGAGTTCAGAGATCTGACCCCCCCACCCACACACACACACACACACAGTTACTCGTTCTTGTAGACATTTTCTTTATTTAAACATTCATATTAATATACAGTCACATCTTAGCATTTGCTAACCAGTCTGAGATATGAACACATGTAAAATTGTTGCTTTCATTTTTTTTCTTCTTCTTCATCCCCCATCTCTTAGGACCCTGGGGACATCAGAGTCTCACTGTAAACCTTAATGAGCCCCCCCCCTCCTCTTCCTCCTGCTTTTTTACTCCCACTCCTGGCTGGGCACTTTAATAAGCTCTGCGTTTAGCCAGGCAGGGGGGTTTCGTTTGATCACAGTAATGAGTTGTGCTCACAAGCGCCACGTACCTCATAGCTGCAGGTGAAATCTACACACAACGCTGCCCTCACCTTTATTTATTTAGGGATTTTTTTTTTTACCTGCAGCTACACTACATTTACAACACTTTCTCTCTTAACAACACGACACTTTCATGTGTAAGGTTATCTCTCAGAAGGAGGTTCCCTTTTGCGTTTGAGCAAAAAACGAAACATGTTCTGAAGATAACAACTCGGAAATCACGTTAGTTATATGGTCCTTTCTGAAACTCTTTCTCTCTGTGAGACTTCTTTAATGGCAGCAGAGATTGCAGGCCCGCGACACACAGCAAACGTGAACAGTAGAATGCATCAAGAGGAGCAAACAAAATTCTCACTTAAAAACTTGACCAACCCAGGCATTGTCAGCTCAGAGAGAAACTATGCTTTTAGGATATAATGACTGGTTCATACTGAAAAAATAGTTATTTTTCTCTGCCCTCCGCCTGCAGACCAATCCAGGCAGGCCTCAATAAAGCTGAAAAAGAATTATGAAAGTAAACATACAGATGTTCCTTCCTGGTTTAGGGTATACTGCACAGTTGCAATTACAGAGCGCACACAGGTATGATGATAGGGCCCGAGACATCACTCGCTTGGGGAAAATTACAGTACATCCCCATATACTCAGGTATTACATGCCTTTTAAAGCTCAGAGAGCCACACTGGCGCTGCCAAAACATCCAAGCCATGGGAAGATGTCGCTGGGTCGCAGACGGTTTCAGGTCAGGGACCAGCAGACGAGGGCAGGCAGTGGTCACATTCAAGCCTCCTTGAATCTGTAGCCTGATGGCTGATGTGTACGATGATGGTTAGGGCATTAGAGACATGATTATAGAATCAAGGCTATGGGGATTTGTGGCTCACTGTATATTAGATATTCAATTGCATTGTTGGAGAGCCATCTACTGGAAACATGGACCATATTACAACTCATATTTAGCCAATACTCTGCAGCATGCTGGGAGATTGTGTTTTCTTTTTCATGATATTTTACTGCAGCTGCTGTCTTCCTTTAGATTCGTACTTCGTGCGTGGATTTTTTATTGATTTAAGCTCACCATTTTATGGTAAATTTACACAATCTCTGTGCACTTTTTCATGTCGACGCCATGAATTCTGGGTCAACTTCCCACACTCCTGAACTTTTACAGGTCATAATAGGGATGCGTTACATCCTCCCGATGCCACATGTGTGTATTGATCTGCTTTTACAGCTCCCAGCAAGCTGTGTTTAGGGGCCATTTGTTTCTCTAACCCCTTCTTTTGGATCTGACCAGCCAATGCAACCGCAGCACTGGCAAGCTATAAAGTTCAAGTATGTGGACACGTCCGTTATTAAGGAAGGCCATTTTTCACAGAGGTGACTGCTGACCTACATAGCTGCTGACATTTCCTGTGTCTCCTTCTCTGCAGGGAAGCTTTTATGTGCCCAGTGAGAACTGTCTGCAGAGAGCTCACACGTGGCACAGAAGACTCTGTCGCCTCCTGCTGGTGGCCCACAGAGGCCTGCACACGTACTACACTGCGCTGATGAAGGAAATCCCACAGCTCCAGCAGACAACACTAAATTCAGGTGAGCATAAACACATCTCAGACTTGTATTTTTATTTTAGATTCTAAAAAAAAGGTGTTGTTAATCTTCTGTAAATAAATGAATGAAATACAAAGAATTTAGAGACAATCAGAGCTGAATAGATTCTTCATGTCCACATTGATATATCCAGGGCAATATCAGGACAACATAAGTAGCAATAAATGTTGCTTACTGAAATACAAGAGCCAATAATGCAATGTAAAGAAATCTAAAAAAGAGATAGAACAGACAGGTCTCAAAAGGCAGTTAAAGCTACAAAGCTTTAAAGGAAAATTAAATGAAAGATTAAATAAAGTCAACAAGATGATGAGAATAATACAAGCATAAAAAAAGAAAAGGGAGGAAAAATCACAAGTGAGACATTTGAAAGTGTTATCGTTTGCTATGGATTCAAACTATAAGGTGAAATTAAACATCTAACTGACAAATAGAATAAAATAATAGTATAATATTTTGTATTTGAAATCCATTGGTGTTGTCAACAGGTAAAGATAAATGTTTTTTTTCTTCTGAATCTTGAATGTATTAAAGATTTCTAAGTTTTTAATAACATTACATAAAATGATCGACTCGTTTCAAATACGTTTTTTACCATGGTGTCCTCACATCACATTGTGTGAGTGTAACTTGATCCTTTGCACTAAGTACAGTGAATTCTACAATTCACTTAGCAGACGCTTTTATACATCAGAAAGTAAGTACAACACAAGCAAGGATCTAGAAAAAAGAAAACAATGTCTGTAAGTCCAAACGGTCAGCTTTGAGTCTGATTGGACACACCGGTGAAGCAGGCATTGCACAGAGGCAAAGCACAACATTGACGGCAGTTCTTGAGAGATCTAATCAATATAGAAACCATCTTAAAAGTTGCCATCATCAAACAAAAACCATCCTCATTACCACCATCATCATCATCAATAATATCGTATTATCAAGGTCGTAGGTATTCATGAAAGAATATCTTCTCTCCACAGACTTGCTGAATGTAGAAGAAACTCTAAATACCCTGACCATACAGTTACAGGTATGTTCGTTCATCAAACTACACACACGTATCAAAGAGACACAAGGTTGCATTTTAGTTTCCTGATCATGATTCTTGTTTTTTATTCCTACATTCACACTAAATATTTTTTTATTTGCGTTTTTCAACATTTATGAAACCTTTTTTTGTTAATAGCTGTCATTTTGAATGTGGTGAGAAACATATATGGCTTACCTGCTGGACCATATATATAAAAACCTTGAAATATATTTGCAAAATCTAAATCTGTTGCATGGTTTAAAAATTGGCCCAATGTGGCTTAATCTTGATCTCAAAGGTTTACATTTTATTATTTTTTTTCACCATGTACAAGATGAATATTCTCAAAATATGGCTGACGTTAAACCCAAATGTCATTGGGCGAGAGGTGGGGTACACCCTGGGACAACAGCACTAATGACTATACCACAATACAGCCCAAGTACTAACAAATTATTCTGATACATTCAGTTATTGTTTTCAAAAACTTGGTTATTTGTTCTATAACGACTGAATATTTTGAGATTTTTGTAAAAAAATGAGATAATTCACACATTAATGATCTTTAGTTTGCATACTTGTATCAAAGGATCAAAGTATGATGTAGGTGTGGACAGGTATAAGTGTCTCACTGATATAACCAGCATGACTTTATTGATTGATGAGTTTCCTACAATGATCCAATGACATGCAGGTCAGGCAGACTGCAGACAGATTTTGAAATGTTGGCAGAAAAAGCAAGGATCCTATTGTAGGATGACGCATAAGTTATTCCTGGAGAACAAATCATTCCATTTGATATTAAAGGTGATCCTTCTTTTTTTCTGACCCCATCAGCTGCAGGACGGCCATGAAAAAGTAGGAGAGCAGATCAGCAGGGACGTGAGCCAGCTCTGCTCCCAGCTCGCTGCTCTGTGGAGCTGCTTCCTGCAGACCGCTGTGCTCAACCCCCACATCCTCTCCTACCTGGCCCAGGAGCACCACACACTCAGGGTGAGAGAGAGAGCGCCTCACTCCATCAAAGGCCTGCTTACACAATGCTCACCATTTACTGTGTGTTGTCTGAGCCACAGTCCAGACAGCTTCTGTTCTTTAAGTGCGGTGAAGACGACTTGCTTATGTTTAAATTTAGCCATTTTCACCCTCAGCACCCACAGCAGAATACAGAAATACCACGGAAGAATCATAGTTTCATAACCATTGATACTTTAGTTCTGGAGACAGCACCTTAAGGCATGTTGTTTTTATTTTTTAAATCAGCTGTTAAATAACATTTTCTTGCATGACACTGAAAGGTTTTCTGTTGGCCTGTAAGTCATATAAAAATACTTCTCAAAGTAGGGATGTGACAAGTTTTGATTTAAACTGAAAAGTGATCAAAATGAGAGGTCACTGATGATTGTCAAAATCAGAATCTTTTGACATATTTAGAGAAATAAAACCCACTAAAGTCTACACAGCTTATTAGAAGCTTGGTCCAATGGCAACATGGACTTGGATGAAGATCTTGTCCAGTTGCCTTTAGATCAAGCTTCAAATTTACCATGACCTTAATGACTGAGACCCTACACAGATATCTACACAGCTTCCCTTAGCAGTTGCCTGCAGCTTCTTTTTTGGAGACTATGTGGTCTCTGTTCGCAACAGAGAAGACCGAGAAACAACTAAGAAAAGTTCAACAGAGCAGGAAAATCTTCCTTTCTGCAAACCTTGATCCTCACACAGCAACATTAATATAATGATTTATATAACTACTTTTTTATAGTATCATTTTTATGACTAGAGGGCATATGGACTTCATGGCATCATGTTTAAAAAAATCAAGCCAAAATGGAAGTGCCTTATACGGTCATGCTTTCTTTCTATAGTTTTGGTTTATTAAATTTGAGGTGTACCAGATTTATGAAGACACAAGTTTTGACAGAGTCCACACAATAAACTTTACACTTGTGTTTACAGTCCAAGAATGTACCCCATTCCTTAGAAACCTCTGATCCAGAAACTGTATCATTTCCATTTGTGCTTAAGTCATTTCAAATAGGAAATTATAAAAACAGGGAGTGGGAGTTGATCTCTAGTTGAGCTGGAGGATTTGTGTTTGTTGCAATCATTCTGACTGTCAAAGCTATTGGCTCTACCAACGCTTCTGCTGGATCCTTTTTAGAACATCCAAAAAGGTGCAAGTTAGGGGTCAGGATTAATGATCTGATTGATGTCAAATGTTGAAGAGAAATCATGCAAAGCAGGGCAGAGCCAAAAAAGACATGCCAGGTTGCCATCTGCTGTTTGACATCTATAACATATCGGACACAATTAAGGAGACATTTTGTCCAGTTTAATCTTTGAATGGTGTAATCCGGTGGTTCTCAATTGCTGGGTCCGGACCCAAAAGTGTGGCGCAGGACCTTTTTAATTGGGTTGCAAATGTGTGTCTTGAAAAAAAAGTGCTTTTATGTTCATTCATACGTTTTGTACCATCTGAGGTCAAAACTGCACAATTATTTACTAAACAAATATGATTGGTTGAAAAATATCAGAAATTTGGATCGCTATTTCCTTGAAGGAGTTGGTGGTGGCTACTCGGTTAAGAACCACTGGTGTAATCTATGTTTGACCTTTTGTTGTATTAATGGAGCATGTGTATATTTTGGATAATTCCTCATCCCGTACTTCTTTTGAAAGTTGACTAGCCCAAGGCCCAATCAAATGGTTGGTAGGTACAAAGAAAACTGGCATGATTTCTAGTGACCTATAGAGGGAGACTCTACCTGTGCCAAAAAAAAGTCTAAATCATTTGTAGTCCACTGGCAACAGAAGAAGACAATATGTATTTTGGGTGTGTCCAATTCTTCAAAAAAGTAAAAATTCCCCTTATGTTCCCCTTGTACCCACAGACCAAATCCACTCTTATAAAACAATAAGTCAGATGTCCACAGTGCACAAACCTGACAGTAAAAGGGAACATGTGTTGCAAACTGCAGCTCAGTCAGACTTTCACTTTTGAGATGTTTACTGTAGTCAGAACATTGTTTGTGTTTGCTGTCTAGGCACCGACCTCATCACTCCTCACAGATTTGCTTTACATGCAGATATTCGAGGAGTGATGAGATAACATCTTACACCCTGTAGCCAGAGTTTGCAGGTGGATGCTGGGCTAAATCAAAAGTGCAGTACTAGGGCAGTAGAATTGAAGGAGCAGAGGGAACGTCTATGGGACTTGGATTAGGCGCCAAATTGGGAGAGTTAGTTTTTCATGCGATTGTTAAGAATGATATGTCGAGAGGTAGACAGTGCAGCTTGACTTGCCCTCCTACACTATAGTTCAGAGGCAATGCTCCATAAAAAAAAACCCAGTTCAGAGGCATTTTCCAAACAAGCTGTAGACATGTGCAAAGTATGCACCTGAAACCAGAATAATTAGATGCACTTCTAAAGCTCGGAAGCTTAAACGTAACTGAGCAAACTAACACACCCTCCAATGCTATTTCTTTCTAATCATTGGGCTGTTGAATATGAACATGTGCTTCACAATGGAGTATCTTCCAAGGCTCTCTTATGTCGCTCTGTTTCGTCTCAGTTGTCTGAAAATAATGAACATATTTGCTTTGGTATTAGAGAACCCCGAGGAGATACTATGATACCTCCACCCACAACTGGAGTCAGAATTTCAATTAGCACTTATTCTGTAATTATTGTGGGGTGAAAATACACCAGAAATAGTGTTCCTGGTGATTTGCCTGTCACAGTGGCTGACTTTCAAGGATGATGCATTTTTAAGTGGAGCAAGAAAAGGGAGAACACTTTTAGATCAAGCTTTTGTCACAGACTGGAGAAGTGATTTGAATCTTTCTGTGTGAGCAGAGCTTTGACTCAGTACGACTTCCTGTTTTCATAATTTCATGCTGCAGTGCCATTAAAAAATGAGAATGGGGCTTCCCAAAGGTGACACTTGTTTTTATCTGTCTCTTGGAACACCAGGTCAGGCGGTTCTCAGAGGCCTACTTTTTCACAGAGCACCCCAAAGAGATATCTCTGACTTTTCAAGAGGAACTGTAAGTGATAACATTCTTAGTGAAAGAACAGTATTATTCTAGTAGAGAAGGGAATTGTTAATTTTTTTAATGTAATTATTATGATTCAGAATCAACAGACATGGCCAGATAGCTACAGAAGTACGGGGCTCAGACTACCTGACTAAGATGCCTCCTTTACCTGTTGAGTGCCTGGACATCGATGGAGACTGGAATAGCCTGCCCATTATCTTTGAGGACAGATATGTCGAGTCCCCTCAAACAGGTAATTATTCATACCTAATCACTGATTTGTGTTGTGTAAGTCATGAGTTGAAGTGTAAAACTGCAAATATGCCTTATCTTTCCAGAGATTGTATCACATGTGCCAACTACTGATGGGCAGACCAAAATAGATCGTGCCATCACTTCTGCTGATGTGATTTTTGAAAGCCGCCAGGGAGCCAAATCACCAGCAATACCTGAGGATCCCTTGGACGGTGACGACTGCATGGACCTGCCCACATATGTTTCACTCATAGCAAAGCAAAGTAAGATGAGCACCCACACCAGTAACCAGCACTCTGTTCCTGCAGTGGACCGTGCTAAGCACTCTCTAACCGAGGCAGAAAACTGGAAGCAACCAGATGAAAAACAAGGCCATCTTAAAAAGAGCTGTAATCCAGGCCTGAGGTACATGGACGTTAAGCCTTCTGATGTGGATCTTTATAGAGGGGAAGGTCTGGTTTGCTCCTCAGAACATAATCCTCTCATTGACTCTGATAACATCAGTGTTGAGTCTCTTCCTCATCATACCACGAATGACAGCAATGACAGAGAGAGTGAAAACAATGAAGAGGAGTCTGATATTGCAATGCCATTAAATCACTCCATGGATGATGAGAATGAGGATGTTCCTCTCATCAGCTTACCCATTGCCTATGCACAGTCAGTTGTATCTCCCTTTTCCGGGGATCTTAGAAAAGAGATGTCTCACCGTGGGGGTCTGGTCAGCTCCAAGATCATGAAACGCTCGTCGTCAGTTATATCCGACTCAGGTATTGAGAGTGAGCCCAGCTCAGTGGCTTGGCCTCTGGAGGTCGCGCTGCGAGGCCGACCTCCTCTAGACTTCTCCAGTGAGCGGAGATCCCAAAGCAAATAGTGTGCCGCCACCCGGTCCATCGCAGCTCTCTGGAAGGCCTGCGGTTGGAGAGCAATGGCAGCATTCCAAGTGGAGGTATACAAGCCTCTCTCACTTCTATTAGCTCTCTGCCCTATGAAGAAGATCAGACCCAGAGGCAGCTCAGCAAACTCACCAAGTCAGTCTCTGCCCCGCAGATAAGTAGCCCTGAAGACACTGAGGAGGACCATGTACTGCTCAACCAGGAAACAGATAGCTTAGTAGAACACCAGGATTCATTAAGGATTACCAGCTCGTCTTTGAATGGAAACCTGGACCTGGAACAATCTAAATTACCCATTTTACACCCAAGTTCAATGGCAAACGTTGACCATATTAGCTCTGAAATATCAAACTCTGACTACCTGTCAGACACAAGCGGAACCAAGTCATTCCTAAGTGGTTTGTCTGAAGTCTTGCTTTTACAAGAGTCTGTGGAAAGCCCACACGTGAAGGAAAGCACTATTATTGGCAACCAGGGGGAGAAAATGAACCACAGAACAGACATCAGTGCAGTAGGCGCCTCAGTGGAGGATGTGTATCTTGTCAAAACTGAAGCAGTACCCTGCAGCTGTGGAAACACACCATGTGTGCATAAAAGTTTAGCAGATCAAGAGAAAATTAACACTGGAGATGAGTGCCAAAGTTTCCATCAGACCACTTTGCTTAGTGTTAAGGAACAGGTGTGTCTTGATCCCTCACTAGAGCCTTTAGGGCTTCAACATTCCCCAACAGACTTGCCCAACAGTAACACCACCACGCAAAGGCCGAGTGACCTCACAGGGCTGAAAACCAATGATATGACATCATCTGTTGATCTCAGTCGGACACCAGTAAGTGAAAAAGAACCTTTGGACTGCCAGACGAAGCCGTCTAAGATCCCTAACTCAGGGCTGGCCTTTGTGAATAAAAAGATGGTAGAGGTGGTGAATATGTCAGTGTCCTGTGCTCCGACATGCCTGCCATTTTCTTCAGTTCTAAGAGACTCTCCATCCATTGGTGGAATGTCCACTCGCCAGGCTACCTCACCTATTACCCATCAGCCACTGGGCTCCTTTGGTATCATCTCATCGTCTTCGCTCAATGTCCTGAATATGGATGATGAGACCAATGAAAGGATGCTGAAGTGAGTTTTTGTTTGGGCTTAGTTTAGTGTTAGTTAAGCAAAATGTTTTTTTAATCCATATTGTATATATTCAGTGGTGGCTGGTGGTGAGGATTTCTCACATACGGACCGTGGTGTACATCTTAGTTTGTTAGCTTGATGCTAACACATAATAGAAATGATTTTTGATAGGCTGAAGTTAGCACAGCAATCGGGCTAATTTTAACTGAAGAAACCATCTATTTTTCTTGGCAATATTAAGTTACCCACTTCCCACCATGTTTAATATATAGTTTCTTAAATTAAGAGATGCTGAGTTAGTTCCTTAGCGTCTCTACAGTCGCTTTTTTTTGTGCTTTAACCCTTAGGTCTGCTTAGTTAAATCAAGTTTAATAGAGTATTTTGTCTGTGCATGACAGACTGAATGTCAATGAATCTCTGTCAACATTGACAAACGAACAGCCAGGCAGCTGTTGGCTTCACATCACAAATAGAGGCAAAGATTTCGAGCTGGAGCCCACATTTGCTTCTTTGCTAATGTCTCATTTTTATCAACAAGCACAGACACATGTATTAAGTTGTACATTAGCTTGCTGAACGAGCTACTTCTCAAATATCTGCCAAGAGAGAAGTGCTGATGTTGGCTGGCTAAATAGTACAAAAGCTAGTCAGCTGTAGTATCCAAATAGCTTTGACTTTGCAACAAATATCAAAATTGTTCTGTGCAGACCAATTAATTGCTAACTTAATGACTTAACTTTCACTTTTAAGTGCAGGTTTTATCAACATTGTTTCAAAGAGAACAATATACCTAGGTTAGGACTTTTAGGCTAAAGGAGCCCTCATGAAGCCTTATCTACAGATTGCTCTTGTAATTTTTCTGTTGACAAATTGAGGCTCCAAATGCAAACATGTTTTGTTGTTTAGGCAGGTGAAAATTATACTTTTATGACAGGGATGTCGGTGAATAATACATCATGTCAATGCAAGCTTGTTTCCAAAATAAACTTTCTTGGAGTGAGATTATAATCCACACAAACTACAGGAGAGAAAGCCAAAAACATGAGGTTTTATGGATATTTGGAGATGACAGCTGACATCTGGTGCAGTAGCTGGCAGTTACTCATACTTGGAAAGCTGAGCATATCAAAATGAAGTGAGGGCAAATTTTAAGCGAGGAAGTCAAGATGAGGTGAAATGCCTCCTGGGTGTATTAAATCACATCAAAGAGTGCAGAAAAATCCATCATGATTAGCTGGAAGTACAGGAATTGGAAACGGATTTGTTTTGACTCCTGCACTGCCAAAGTCTATAACCTGGCTGGATGACTGGGTAATAAAACTTAGATGAGCTTCTTGTAAGTCAAGTCTGTGGGACTTTTGTTTATACGCTTCAGAAGTGAGCAAAGTGAAGTAAGAAATATTCAAATGCAAAATCCAAGCTAGGTTTTTCATTATATGTTTGACCAACTGGATTGATTTACGTTCAAACGAAGCACTTTTGCTGTTATTTAAATCTTATATAAGGATTTTATCACTCATTTTATTGCTCAGATGCAAAACACAATATCTTGTTCTTTTTTGTTTACAAATGTCATTTCTTTTTCTCCAGTTTCTACAAAGCCAAAGAGGAGCTGTTCAAAGAGCTGAACTTTCAGGCCGGCTTGTACAGCGACCTTCCTCTTCTGGCATCGGATCTGCCCTACTTTCCCCCCGAGGAGGACGATGAGGAGTTTGATGACGGCATACACCTTGTGGTTTGTGTCCACGGGCTTGATGGTGGGTCTACACATACATGTAGCTCACTGTGTTAGCTCACTTAATTCAGACTTTATAGCTTATTTGCCTGACTGATATGAACAGGTGGGCTGATATAGGAAATTTAGGCTTATTATTAATATATGTTTACTGAAATATGACAGTATAACACTTTTTTCATCTGACACAAAATGCTGAAAATACTATCTGCGGCACATGTAGCAGAATATTACTGAACAGATGCAATCCTTACCAATTACAGCACACAAAGCAAGGCTAGGTCAAACTATTTTTATCCCATCGAAGAAATGGACTGTATCAGCCACAATATGAGTGATGTGTTAGTTTTTACTTTCATTAAAAAGTACAGTTTCAGTCTTGAAAGTCTCATATCAGTCTTGAATGTGTACATCTCTACAGCTTTCCCTGGGGCGGCCGTAGCTCAGTCTATTGGGTCTTGGGTTGGGTTAGCTGGTTCAAGCCCCGATGCAGACCATCATACGGAAGTTGGTTTGGTAGCTGGAGAAGTGCCAGGGCACTTCCCGAGTACTGCCGAGGTGCCCTTGAGAAAGGCACCGAACCCCCAACTGCTCTGGTGTGCTCCCTGCGTAGCCGTGTGTAGAAGCCACACTCTGACATCTCTCCACTAATGCATGTCCACACTCTGTTTGTACATGTGTGTGATTCGGGCCTATGTGTGTGAGAAGCATGTCTCTCAATAACAGAGTGTAAAACTAGAATTTCCCTCAGGGACTAATAAAGTATATAAAATAAAAAAGTAGGTTCCTCTGTCTTTTCGGAATTGCAAATGTAATATATTATCCGAGAGTAGGTCTTACAAACTTAACACCATGTACTTCCTGTATACTTCTTCCTTAAAGCATATTCGAGGTGCATCTTTAATGATTAATGGACTCTTTTTATAACAGCTGAGCCAATAAACTGTGTTTATAATATCCTCCTCGCTTCCAGGGAACAGCGCAGACCTTCGTCTGGTGAAGACTTTTATTGAGTTAGGACTACCAGGATCCCGACTGGACTTTCTCATGTCAGAGAGGAACCAGGTGAATTTGCAAGCGACGGCGATCGGAGCACACAGAAAAAGACGTTCAGTTACATTTTCTATAAATGCTGCTGAGCTCTGACAGCTGTGCTTCTCTTTGCCGTATCTCCCTGCAGATTGACACGTTTGCAGATTTTGACACCATGACGGACAGGTTGTTGGATGAGATCATTCAGCATATCCAGCTGTACAATCTCACCGTTGGCAGGATAAGGTTAGTTACCTAGATGTAAAACTGCGAAGCAATCATAACACTGACAACTCTGCTTTCCATTGATTTTGATTGATTATTTGAGGCAAAGTCAAAACAGAGGCAATCATCAGCCTAAGCAGCATTTTCTTTGGTCAGTAGATGGCAGCAGAGACTGTGCATTCATCCAAGGTTTACATCCTTCACTTATGAGAATCACTGTTTCATGATAATATATCGACTTAAGACAAATGCATGGCATAAAATGGATGACCAGCGCTTATCGTACAGTGCCAAAAAGTGTCTGACTTTCACATGATAGACTGTGCTCCTTTATGTGGCATTGTGCTGCTTAGCTCCTTTAAAATTAAGCTATTCATCTTCTGGCTTAATTGCCCTCAATGTGCCAATTTATTTCTGTTGTAAGAGTTTCCACACAAGTTTGTTAACTTTCTTTATCGTTCTCTTGAGAGTAAGAATCAAAGAGAAAAGCAATGGAGTGCCACAACAGCATCTGGTTCTTTCCACATTACTTCTATATTTAGTCTGGGAGGAGACAGATGAGAAGCAGCAGACATGGCAACGAGGGATTTTGGGAAGAGCTGTAACAGAACAGTAATTAAACCAAGTGACAGACACAGCTTCATGAATCTAATATTTCCCCACTGCTGCTGGGTTGATGCTTTTAATTTGTATGGTATGTCCTCTATGTAAGCATCATTAAGTTGTCATTGCCTTTGAGAAGGTTTGAATATTGAACGAGTTCATGAATATTCTTTTATCACAATGTTGCAGCTCAAATCTCTGAATAAGCTCAGTAAAAAACGACGTCCTAAAAATAAGATGCTGCACAGTGTCCTGTACTGTGGGTCAGCAGCGTTGGAGGCGTTGTGTTTCCTGCCACCCACTCAAGTTGCCAATTTTTCTCTCTGAAAGTTGTTTGTCTTCGTCCGACAGCTTCATCGGCCACTCTCTGGGGAACATCATCATCCGCTCTGTGCTGACGAGGCCTCGCTTCCGATGCTACTTGTCCAAACTGCACACTTTCCTCTCGCTGTCAGGCCCACACTTGGGAACGCTGTACAACAACAGCACCCTGGTCAGCACAGGTGAGGTCATTGCTCAGCGGGGGGGGGGGGGGGGGCACACTGCAGTTGAGCTGTATTGACAAAGCTTCATATTGCTGCGTTTCAACCCTTTTGCTCTTCAGCAGAATCATCCGGCCTTTTATCTAAGAATATCATCCATACTGCTTCCATGCTGGGTGTTTTAAGAGCAGGGGTTCTGATTGTGTATGTGTGTGTGCATGGTCTATAGGTCTGTGGTTAATGCAGAAGCTGAAGAAATCCGGATCCTTGCTGCAGCTCACCTTCAGAGACCACGTTGATCCACGGAAAACATTCCTGTATCTCCTGAGCCAGAAACCAGGTACGATCTGGAAGCGGATGAATTTGAAAACAAAGGCACTTTATTGACTCCCTCTCTCTTTAAAGAATTTTCCTCGAAAGATAGACTATTCAAATATTCATGAAAATGTTGTCGTCTTGTCAAAATTCCTGTGCGCGTCAGCTCGCTAGCTCTCAAACCGCGAGCGAGCCTTGCCAGCGAGCTGCGAGCGGCCTGTGAGAGGCCTCCCCACTGTGTGAGTGGAACAAAGCAGTCGTTTGTCACACAGGCTCGAAGAAGATAAGCCTGAAAACACTTTTTACCCCTCCAGCCCTGTGGCAGGCTGACAAAATGATCCAAACCCTGTCATTGGAAACCCACCAGTGCACTCTCTTAAAAGCACACTGACAGGAGACTTGGGGAAAAATGCTGTTTTATCGTATCAAGCCTGTCATTGTACTTTGTGATTGTACTTTGCGTTTTACAACCAATTCACTCCTTTCGTCCGTCTTCCTCTCTTTCCACTACTCTCTCAATCACACTCACACACACACACACACACACACACACACACACACACACACACACACACACACACACACACACACACACACACACACACTTCTGTCTTGTTTATGCGTTTATTTTCTGTCCTTTTAGGGCTCCAGTTCTTCAAGAATGTCGTGTTAGTGGCGTCTCCACAGGACCGTTATGTTCCTTTCCATTCTGCCAGAATAGAGATGTGCAAGACGGCTATTAAAGACAGGACCACAGGTTAGAAATGTTTTTTACCTTTGACGCACAGAATTTCAGGCCTTCATTTAAAATATTGAAGCATTCCCATTTTTCTTGAAAATAGTTATTTCTTAGGTAATAGATTATGTCTTTGATAAACATAAATAAAAGTTAAATTCTACTTTTCTCTACACATTAAATCTCCTGTGAGGAGTTTTTCAATGTTTATGAAACAGACTGAAATTAGTCCCATGGCTCTTTGTGACCATCGAAAGCTAACAAGACCATTTATTGACAAGACAGACTTTCTCCATTTTGATTTTTAAAGCCTGAAACAGCTGCCGCAGGGCAGGTGTCAGACAGAGTAAGTTACATTGTGCTGCTGAAACAGACAAAAATGTATTTGCACAGATTCACGATGAGTGATACTTTTGGCTGTTAAAAAAAAACCCGATCACATACACAGAGATAAAAGGTATGGCATGTCCAAAGGGCTCATCAAAATCAACACAGATGAAAAGTTCCTCACAGGAGATTTAAAGGTGTCGATTTGGTAGTGAAATTTTTAAGTTGGAGAAGTGAAACAATTCTCTGCTATATTTTCTGAACTAAATACACAAACTTTACTCAAAGAATAAAATGGGTCCCTGGAACAATGTTTGGAGCTAAAAAGCTAGTAACAAGAGCGTTACGGTTTCACTGTTGCAGACCCCCCACCGTAACTTCTAGCGCAGCATTTTATCTTCAGACAGTTTTCCAGGGACCAAAGCTTCCTCTGAGAATACTTTGTGTATAGAGTTATGAACATGTACGATAGAATCTGTACATTTCTCCAACTTTCAAATTTCTCTACCAAAACTGCATACTGCACCTTTAAAGACTTTTATTTCTGAATGCAAAAGATTATAAATAATTTACAGTAGGAGAAACATCAGAGAAACATTTTTTAAATAAGCGTTTGGAAGATAAATTCAAGAGGTCATGTGTCAAGTTGAAAAGTCAAGAATAAAGTGAAAAAAGACGAGAGTAAAGTTGAACTTTTTGTTGGTGCCAGACATCAGGAAAAAAAACAAGGGAGGGAGTTTTTATAATCTGCATCCGGAGAAAAAAAAGTTTAAATGCCGACAATAACTTAATATTAGGGTTTTGGTATGAATGCCATTTATAAGGAAAAAGATCAGGGGAGAGAAATGTTTTAAAATCTGCCTCTTGAAGAAATCAGAGAGAGAAAATCTCTGTTAGTCTGTTCATGACACTGGTTCCATTTATGATTGGTTAGAAGAAGACATTTTGAATGTGTTACTCACTGTGCCAATACTTAATATGTTCTGTTTCTGTCTCTAACTATCCTCATTGCTTCTCTGAAGGCCCCGTCTACACCGAGATGATCAAGAACCTTCTGCAGCCGCTCGTAGAAGCTAAAGAGTGCCGACTGATCCGTCAGAATGTGTTTCATGCTCTGCCTAACACGGCCAACACCCTGATTGGACGCGCCGCTCACATCGCAGTCTTGGACTCTGAGCTTTTCCTGGAGAAGTTCTTCTTAGTGGCGGGGCTCAACTACTTTAAATGAAGGTGCTATGACTGCAGGGCTTATGGACAGGACCTGTTAGTGGAGCTAGTTTGGAAGAACTTTGAACCGTATCTCTATTGTATATAATCATCCCTGGTATCCAAGAGTGGAGCCCTGTATATCCATCTGTTAGGGTCTGTTAGCAGCTGTTATTTAAAGATCAGTGTATTGTGACTGTTTGCTAACTCAGAAATCTGAGTTGGACGTGTAGCCATGCAAAATGAAACATCCGACATCTATCACAGGATTGATTAGATGTTTTTTTTTTTGTTGGCCTTATGAACAACCTCTTAACCAGAACACCAACAGATGCTAACTTTGGTCCAAAGCATTTAACTTTTCTTCCCTTTAGAGCCTGATGGATTCTTCTTAGAGGTCCAATGATGGTCCTTCCAAGCAAGGCCATAGATGCTCAGCATTTATCCCCCTGACTGTACATGAAGTCGTTTTGTTGTACAAAACATAGATGTTCCTTTATACAGAAATTAATATATTGTTTGAATGATTTATTTTCTATCGGCTTATGTCTCTACAGCGTAAAAAGCCCATCTAAATGTGATCATGTGCGTGTAGTTATGAAGTCTATCACATGGAAAGCGAAGTGTTTATATACGACAGAGGCTGCAGTCGCCTATGCAGCCTATAACTCAGAATATTAAAGTTGCTGTTTTATATTTTTACTCATCTTGAACTTAACATGTGAGGAGTTTTAGCAGGTTATGAAACAGACTGAAATTAACACTGATGACCATCAGCGACATGACTGGCTATTTCTATTTTGGTATTATTAATAACTGAATCTGCAGCCGTGGAGAAAGTGTCAGATGAACTACACGTTGCTGAAATTGCTTATTTAAAAAAAAAAAAAAATTGTCCACTGCAAAGTGTCTAGATTTGTGTCACCTTTGACGCCGTAAAAACATTTGTTCTGTTTGAAAAACACTATTTACGGGGCCCCGTATAGCTTAGCGGTTCAGTCCCCATGTACATGTACAGCCATGGGTTTGAATCCTACCTTGACCCTTTGCTGCATGTCATCCCCCACTCTCTCCTCCTAACATTTCCTGTCTCTCTTCAGCTGTACTATCTAATAAAGGCAAAAGGCCAAAACATGTAAAGAAAAAAAAAAACCTTTTTAGGACAAGATCAGCATAAAAGCTCAAAGTTATTGTTCCGTCTACAGGTGTAACCAAAACTAAAACAAAGAGTAAGATCCTCTTAGGAGCTTTAAAATCAGTCCAAGCTAACTCACTGACTCTTATAAGTATAATGCTTGAGCATTAAGGGAGCATTACAGTGTCTCAGATTCCAAATGGCTCTTCTTGTTGTTTTTGTTCCATCTCATTGTCATTTGTAGTATAAATTAGTGATTTTTGTATTTTTCAGGTAAGACATAGGCTACTTACCGCTGAAGAACTTTATATATTCAAATGAACCACGCCCCACTTTCCTTCTTTACTTTATGTTTATTAGCTGAAGTTGATCACAGACAAATTCCAGTTCCAATTTCATATTATACAGATTATTCCAAAATAGAAATTTAAAAATCAAGAGTTATTTATTTTTTCCCCCAATGGATACAACATTAGTGGAAAAAAAACAACAACTAGTGTTGCATTTCATCAGTTATCACAACCCCTAATAACCCTTCCCATCACCAGTTCAGTCTCCATGTTATTGATTAGTAAAGCACCACGGTTTCCCGACAAGCCTAGGTCTGTGCATCCTTGTAGCCATGGCAACAATATATCTATGAATTGTCCGTTTTGCAGTCTTAGTTTACATACATAAATTCCTTTAACTAAAATGTCTCATGGGTTTGGTGATCTCTTTTAAACCAGTTCAATGTTCTTGCTATTTTGGCTGTTATGAGAATATAAAAAAAATATTTCAGATTTCTGCTGGTCATTGCTTCTATGGTGGCCCAGATGATGGCCAGTAATGTAAAGAGCCCCCTGTGGTAGGTGAAAGACAAACCAATAGTCATGTAAGGATTTTAACCAACCAAGGTTTAGATCTCTTTCTGCTTACAAGCCAAAAACTTGACCAGCCAAAGGTGGTTTCCATATTGGATGATTCTTGATGAAAATCAAAGAAACAAAAAAACATAAAGCAACCAGTAACTTTTCTTTAAAGCATGATCTAGAAACTGATAAAAAAAAAAAACACCTCCCATATAGAAAAATGATGAGAAAGGGGGGGCTGAAAGTGAAAATCAGTAAGGACGTCCGGGCAAATATTTCTGCAGAAATTCATAAAGTCAAATGCAAAACCTGTGGAGAGAATTCTAGTTTTTAAACCCATCACATCCTTCATGAGCAGATCCCAGTCAAACAAGTATATGTTGGAGGAAGTGTGGAGAAGAATCTGTAAATAATCCTTGTGTATTTTGGAAATTGACCCTCGACCCACTGACAAACGACCTACATTCAGATTGATCAAGAAATGCAATGACATAAAGAAACAATCATCTGTGATAACACAATATACTAACATTGTCTACATAAGGATGGATTTCACGAGGCACTTTACATTCATTGTTTAATCAGGGTGTCATTTCCTTTGTATTCTATAAAACTGCATGATGTCGCATACACACTCACTGCCAAGATTCTCCCTCACACCGTCATTTTCATTTCCATTTTCTCTTAACCAAGTTCAACATGATGCATGATGATAGCAGGGAAGTTCAACCGTAGCAGCCACTTTCTCTTGAACACATACGACACTCTATTTTGATCATCACATCAAATGTGTGATTTTATTTTATTTTTTTTAAACATTTTTTTTTCTTCCTCAACCTTTTAGTGGTATACGTTAAAAGCTTGACACGAGATGTCGTTTCCCCGGCGTGCTATAGCGAGGACTGTTTCCTCATCAGCGAGCTGTCCGTCAAATGCTGTTTACATTTTGACTTTAAAGAACTGTTATCAGAGTGTTGCCATAGACGTCTCATATCCGGCGGTGGATGTGCATCTTCTGCATATGTAGTTATGTACATAGATAGAGCTATATTTAACCTTTGCACTGGTTTGATGGCAAGTGCACTTTACTGACAACCTTGAATCAACTTCCATTAGCTTTATAAAATCCAAACAGCTTTTTTCCCCCTCCTCGTCTTTATCTATTACTCCTATTGTTTCTTTGCTTTTATACGCCCTCTATGTTTCTGTAGATGTGAAGGTCGCATCCTCTACTTGTTGTAAAAAGTGTGTTTGGCTGTCCATCTCTACCGTTCAAGCATTGTTTTGTCTTCAAAGAGTACAAAAGAGGACATCGCAAAGCGCCCCCCCTTTTTGTTGTTGTTGTTGTTGTGAATCTGTTGCTTTGGCGCTGCCCTGTAAGCAGGCTGTCACCATGATTGACGTTAATCAAATGGGCTCCTTCAGGACGCAGAGATCGCTCTCAAAAAGCCACTAAGCAAAGCTGTGTAAGCAATCTGTTGGAGCTGCCATGCATCATGCATCATTTCTCAAAAACCCCCATGACCCCCCCCGCCCCCCCCTCCCCTCCCCAGTACGCCAAACAAACACGATGCTGTACGGCTTGGGCTTGTTTGCGTGCTGGGCCATGTTCGTTTACCCAAAGGGGTCAGTGGGAATCGATGGAGGGGAAAAGTGTTTGTGGTATTGAGATTTGCCCCCTTGAAGGGCAAATCCACGTCTGAAAATTGTTTCATGGGATGGATGGCTGTTGTGTAAAAGGTTTCACTTGAAGGCAGCAAACGTTGTACGAGCTGAATTGTATTTACATGATGCTCAACTTCATCCTGCAGGGTAAAGGCTTTTATTTTTTGTTGTATTTTCTGTGTAAACGTCTGTACATTTCTGCTGCTGTATGTGTGAGTGTATTCAGAGGTGATCCATAAATCCAATAGATCCTTGCAAGTGCTGTCAACCTTCAAAACTAGCTGACTTGAACCTTTTTGTATTTGATTGCCCTTTACTGAGAGTCTTGTGCGTGTGTGTGTGTGTGTGTGTGTGTGTGTGTGTGAGCGCGTGCATGAGTGTGTGTAGAGGGTGGAGGAGGCTCTGTAATCTGTGTGTTAAAGGAGATGTCTTTTCATTGTCTCCCTGTTGTCGAATCATCCATCATGTGTTAGAACTGAATGTAAAAAAAAAAAATGTCTGACTTCACTGTGATGAACATGTATTTATTTCATTCTGCTGTTCTTTCTTTTTTGCTGAATGTATACCATGTAAAGTAAATATTACTTCATCTGTGCCAACATTGCTATACTATTTTTCTATGTCGCTCACTGTACTCCATGTAGTCCTCCGTAGGTTGTGTCCTATGTAAAAATATAAATACAAATATATATATACATAGAATTATTATAACAGAAATGATGTTCCAATAAAAATTGTTCCTTTTGTATAAGCCTTTTGTTGCCTGTGTGTTTGTTAAGATTGCTGCTGCTCCTTCAAATTGATTTTAAATAATTTCATTTAGCATAATTAGACAGGATTACTATCAACTAAGACCTACAATCAGACTTTCGAGTAGCCCCTACTTACATTTTTAAAATGCAAATTTACAGTTAATATTCTTCAAGATGAGGAATAAAATGAATTGGGAACTATTTCCAATCGCAGTTAATAGTCATTTTGTCATTTCCAGCTGCTGCACGGAGTCTGTGACATCACTTCAAATAAAGTGCTCACGATCATTTTAACAATGGGACATGTCAGACTGTTCAAGAGGTCCATGATAAAAAGAAATATGAGAACACAGAGATGAAGTGAACATTCAAGATTAACAAAGTGCAAAACTGAAACACACAACACACAGGAAATATACACAGTATACAAAGAATGCAACCAGAAACTGGTTTCCTAAATGCCCCTCTTAACTGTCTCAGTCAAAAAGCAAATAGTCCAAAATTCAGCAGTTTTAATAAAACCAATAAATGTGCTCACATCACCCCGACGTTAGCGTCTCTTCACTGGCTGCCTGTTGATTTCAGGATTGATTTTTTTAAAGTTTATTTTAACAACTTTCAAGTCACAACATGGGCTGGCCCCTACTTATATTTCTAAGCTTTTAACCCCTTATGAACCAGGATGCAGTCTGAGATCCTCTGGTAGAGCTCTGCTGGCTGTTCCACGGTCCAGGCTGAAAAACCAAAGGGGACAGAGCTTTATCTGTCAGAGGCCCCAGACTTTGGAAGAGCCTGCAGGAGGACATCAGCAGACCTACCCCCCTCGTTTTATTTCTCCACTTAAAGGCAGTGGGTGGGTGTAGACGAGGGCGTTGAGAGGATGCTACTTTCAAAATCATGCTAGTTCTCGGAAATCACCTCTTTTAAACAGACGTATTTACGCTGTGATTTTAGTTTATTTTATTGTACTTGAACTTCTAATCTTGAATCCTATCTGTCTGTTTGCTTACTAGAATGCTTTTATTGCTTGTTTGCTATCACTTCACACAGTGAAACACTTTGTTACCTGTATTGAAAAGTACTTTAGAATTAAGTATTATTATAAACTATTCTTTACAGAAAGCAAAAGCATGAGAGAAAGTATAACCGTCTTTGAAAACAAAAACCAAGTGATTATTTGTCTTACTCTTTTTTTTTTTTTTTTTTTTACAATAACTAAAAATATGATTGTCACACATCTAAATACTAATGCTTCATTACCCACTGAAAACAACAAACAAATGTACACTCAGTTTTTGGTTGCATTTCCCCTAAAACACCAACACAGAGCCCCATGCTCTTCATACAGACTTACATCCTGGTCTGAGCCAGGCTGTCACCCTGTCAGGGTCCCTGAGTGCTGCTGAGTGCAGATATGTGGCTGTTTCCCGCCTCACTGTCCACCGAGGCAGATTTGTCACGGTCTTTAACTTCTGTCTGTGTATATTCTATTAACGAGCCCTGTTGTGGGACAACAACGACCCGCCATTTGTTTTGTCCGTCTTTGACACGCGCAGTAAACGAATCATAGCAGCAATCCCCCGCTGACGCCCCATTTCAACTGCATCAATTTATGACTTCCAGGTTTGGGATACCCCAGAGCTATAAATCCAGGCCCCAACAATCCATACTCAATTTGATTTCAGGGTGTTCTTTCTCATTCCAGCGTCCATTTGTCATTGCATGTTGAACTCATGATCCAACTGAGGCTTATTGGAGTCCCTCTACTTGCTTTTTCTCCACCTTTTCTTCCTCCCGCTGCAATCAATAAAGCTCATTTTTCCAGCCCCGACCCAAAAGACATCTCTCCGCCGCTGCAAACTGATGAGGGGACCCACACGCACGCATAGTAATGCATTTCATTTGCTGCGAGTTAACAGCAATTGGTTGGTCACATTCACTTATCATCAAATGCAATGAAATCACAGCAAATAAAAAGCAGCGCCGTTGTTTACAGCTCGTGTCTCCGCACAAACACGTCCCCCCCCCGAGACCCATCTTGTTCTGCATGTGTCGCTCCTCCTTGCCATGAAGTGGGAGGAAAAATGATTTTGTCATTAAATCCATCACTCGCAGTTGATTGAAGCGGTGTTCATTCCATTGTTTGCCTTGTGAAGGAGGGAAACCATTAGTCCCAGAGTGATACTTTGGGCAGGCTTCGTCAATAAGCAAGCCGCCAGTGGGAGTAATTATTGCTGCATGAAGCTGTCGGTGCTGGAAGGTAATAAGATCTCACATGGTCTCATTATCTCCCGTGACACTGATGAGCAGGATTTCACACCTAAATTTCAAGGAGATAAAAGAGACACAAAAGTGGAGAAGTGGACTTTGAGTCCTGCTTTGGAGGACTTCCATCTGTTTTGATTGTTTTTTAATCTGGAAGAATAAAAGGCGCCACAGGGGAGACCAAATAACTACAGATCTTCTTGCACAATCATGTTTGTGCAGGTTTTTTTTTTTTTTTTCTTGGAAAGGACGTTCAGACTGAGAACTATAGCCACCTGGCACTAACTACATGCTTTCAAAAACAAACAAGTGTTGTTCATGATGTCCAGTAGACGGTGAGGACTAGAATCCTTTTATTTAAGACATTACTCAATAACACAGTTAACACATGATCATAATGGTGGGATTACAAGGTTTTAAATACCTGTAACTGATTTCTGACTTTCCTTTCTTTGCTCTGTTTTTGCTTTGGAATATTATACTATGTTTCACAATCCAAGTGATTTCAAACTCTAAATTTCAAACTGAAAATATGATGCTAAGTGAAGTTTAGGTGTGATGGTTTCTTTTTCAAATCAAAAGAAAGACGTGAGCAACATGTTAAAACTGCTTTCTCAATTTTTGACAACAAACCAAAGTCCAGCAGTCAGTAGCCGTGCAAGCAAGCAATACAACAAAATACAAGACAATGTAAAAAACACAATCAAAAGTCATCAGGAAAAATAAGAGCATTCCTCAGACAATGTTTCACTCTGTGCTGTAGAGTTACAGGATTGTTTAAGGGAGTCCTGAAGCTTATTCCATTCATAGGGAGCAGAATATATGCAGTTTTACCCAGTTCTGTACTCATGAAAGGAGTATTGAGAATGATGTCTACATGTGTGGGTAGTTTTCTCTCACAAAAAATACCTCATCCTGCTCACTACTGTCTAATGTTCTGCTCACTGTAAAACCTAGCGATGGATGTAATCAAAGGCTATTCCTCTCTGCGTGCTTTAAATGTCATCGTCAGAATACGACTCAGTGACAGCAGTGTAGACTTAAAACTAACAAAATCTAAATCAGTCTTGCAGCTGACGGTGTAGTTTTCGTCTCTAGGCATCTACAAATGAAGTCTTTTTTTTATACTCCTTTAAGTATGTTTGAAGTATTTAAATAATCTACTTTACCTTTAAAAACTCCTGAACCAGTGGTTCTGAGAACTACATGTCAAGCTGCTGACATCATCATGGGAAGTATTAAAACGTTGGGTGCAGCTATTCATACAGTATAGCACATAACTCAGGTACTATATTTACATATTCTTTACAATTACAACTGACAATGGTGATAGATATAAAAGTCAATGATTTTAAATAAGGAAATACATTGCACTTTTTTTTTTTACAAAAAACATTTCAACAGTGGCTCTAATTTCTAAGCTTTAAGTATTTCTTCAAGTTCTAAATAATTAAAACTCTTCTATCAATCAATTTGAATTTTTTCACTATTTCAAACCAGAGCCAGTCAGACAGATGATGGCATCTTTTGTATGCATGAAACCAATTATACTCGACCAGATATTCAGTTTCATATGTTTTCTTAATTTAATTTTTCTCCCTTTAATTCCTTCCTGTAGTGATGATAGTCTCCAGCAGATGGTGCTACTACACCCCTCCCTTCTGTGCACTGACACAGGCTGCGGTTATTAATAAGATCAGCAAAGAAGCCGTTTTATCAGTAATATTAGTTTGTTAGTAATATTAAACACGATGTACTTTAAATTATGATAGATCATCTCATTGTGTTGAGGTAGGTTTTGGAGCTGGATTGATGACCTGCAGATACATATCAGTGCGTATGTGTGTGTGTGTGTGTGTGTGTGGTGTGTGTGTGTGTGTGTGTGTGTGTGTGTGTGTGTGTGTGTGTGTGTGTGTGTGTGTGTGTGTGTGTGTGTGTGTGTGTGTGTTGAGAGCAGACTCGCCGGTATCTCTATCTGCTATCTGCCAGGGAGCCGCTGTAAGCCTATAGGTCAGACACATCTCTAATGAGCAGAGCTCGGTGAGAGACCTGGTACAGTGCAGAGCTACGGGCCAGGGTATTGATCGGCAGACATTTAACATTTACTGTAGCATCCGCACTGGCAGTGATGTGTGAGGATGTCTCCTCATGTCTCCAGTAAGTGGGTAGAGGACAAGGAAAAACTTGTGATTTAAAAAAAAAAGAAAAAAAAGTGAGAAATAAAAGTCTCACATATAAGCCACATATTGTCCAGAAGGCTCGTGAGTCTGTTAGCTGAACTTTTCATTTCACCTTTCTTCAAGGTGACCAACCTTTCTGATGCTAGATGAAAGCAAAGTCGACCTCCTAAAGTGAGTCCTACAATAGTGTACAATTTTTGAAGCATTGCTGGTGAACACACTTCACCAGCCACATCCATATCATTTCTCAGCTGTGGTGGGCTGTAACTGCAGAGGTCAGTGAATCCTGACACCAGATATATCTGTGGGGGATGACAGGCTGTCAGAAAAGAGAGAGAGAGAGCGAGGGAGAGAGATGATGAGATAAAGGGAAAAGAGATGATTAATACCACGCTCGACAATGTAGTGTTGAATAAATAGTTAGGAGTTGAAATACCTTTATGCTGTCTTTCCAAAGAGTGAGAGGATAGAAATCGATGCCATTTTGTGCATGGCATGAAGAGCAAGAGTGAGGACATGTGTTAATCTTTTAAGCCTTAAAAAGGTGTCAGGGG